TATATATCAACAGAGAAAGGGACCAATGGCTGGCCAGCCGGGGTTTGTCATTGGGAGAAAAAGAAGAAACGACATTTGGAAAAACTTTAATTACATAGAAGTGGAAAAGAAAACGGAATTTGTTGTGGAAAAAGATGGGGAGAAATGTGGCCACAAAATCACACAAAATGTGTATTGGATGTACTCTTGAGTCTATAAGGTAACAATAATATAATAAGATAACCTTGTTTGAAATGGGTTTGGCTAAAAGAAACGTTTGGTTTCATCTATACTACTAGGTACTTATACTCTGGGTTAAATTGAATTGCATTACTAAAAAGAGACTAAAATACAATGTTCATTGACTAAAACTAGACTAAAATGTCATCAGTTGTTGTTGACTAAAACTAGACTAGACTAAAAAGAGTATGAATTGACTAAAACTAATAAAAACTAAAATGACAGCTTCACACAAAGACTAGACTAAAACTAAAATGAAAACAGGCTGCCAAAAACAACTATACTTTGGATGCTTTTATTGCTCTCCATCTCCAACATGCCTCGTTCTTTGTCGCGCTCTTTCTGTGCTACAGAACGTGGCCTCTTGGTTCTGCTCCCATCCTGGGTTGGACCTGCACGGGTAGCCTCCATGGTCCGTCTTTGGAATGAGCCATGCTGGTTCAAAAAACACCTTTTATACCCTGGGATCAGTGGGGGCCTTAAAAAAGTGTAGTCTGGAGGTTAACAAAAGTGGCCACAGGGGGCAAGAAATAAATACAAGGCCTGAAGATGGGTGGGGGTGGGTGGTAGTATAGCAGGGATAAAACACTTCTAGACTATTTTTTACTTGATTTATACAAATCTGTGCAAAATCTTAGTGCATCTTTGAATACCAGGTTTGGTTCCAGCATCTCAGACTTTTTTGTCTTCTATAATATACTGAAATTCAGACAAAACAAACAAAATGTTCCTCAGAGGAAGAAAAAAGAACCATTATTACATTTTCTTACTGTTTTGCAAGTTTCACTGTCATAAAATCAAACCAAGGTGACAAACAATAAGCCAACCTGAGCATAATGTCCCAGTTAAGAACTTCTTTTCTGGGTGAAATTCAAAGCATCTCCTGAGCAGTTGGACAGGCAGTGTGTCTGGACAGTGCAGACACATTCAACAATACACACTTTGTTGGTCCAAATTACACACACACCTGTAATCTAGACATTCACACAAATGTTCCTTGATGACTCCTTTCCTCTTGGCTTCTCTTACGTGGACGCGCGCACGGACACAGTCTGTAAAAAAAAACGTCACTTCCCTGCAGAGCACTTTGTGGATCTAACCTCTTCAACCTGTCTTCAGTAATATTTAACTAAATAATTTAATATCTGCTCCACAGCAGGGAGTGGTTAGAGGAATGTAGAGAAGCCCAAAGCTAACACTGTGTCCTGGGAGGAGGCAGAACATCTCACCCGTCCTGTTTAGAACGCGATATTTCACTCATACAGTATTTAAATATGTTATACACTTCAGCTGAACACTACTTTATCATTTGGACCTGTTCCTAATTCTCGGTCAGCGCACCTCCCTGGTCTACCTGCACACCTGTCTCCAGTTTCTCTCATTTGATCCTCTCTGCCAGCTCCTTTCCCCAGGTAGTTGGTGTATTGCTTGGCCTCTTGCCTGCTACCTGTTTGCCTTTCAGGTAACGTACAGTTATGTGACCTATTGTAAAGATACAAACATTTATGTGGTTTTGAGATGGTTTTAGACAGCCTTGATTATGGATGGGTATGGAGACCCTGTGCCAATATGGCGCCGGTTCCTGTCGGCATCTACTGGACCGAATCACGGTACAGACTTAGGTGCCACTTAAATGGTAAGGCTATCACTTATGCTGAGTTCCATTTACGTAGGAGCTCCGAAGTCAGAGCTGGGAATGTTTTTAATGTCGTCAGCCTTCGTTTTATGCAGGGTATACATTTCACAACAGCCCTGTTGCCCTGGCACCTGACCGCGATGCCCTGTATATCTGTCGGAGTTACACGGCCACAGCGTGTCCTCATCAGATTTGTGATCTCTATAAATTATTGTTCATGTTCAGTCACTCAGGTTGGAGTGTGCTAATGGATGTACTAAGGAGAACGGCGCTTAAAGGGGCTTTCAGATGGGACGCGGTGGGGGCTGCTCTACACTATGGAACCCAGAAAAGGTGTCTGCGCTGCGCCGGCATGAGCGCAGCGCAAGGTTACGTGTGCCCTCCCTGTAAGCTGAAGTTTTAAAAGGCTCTGTGACAACACCTCCTCCTGTCCAATTGCAGAGAACCTGACAGACCATAAAGAAAATGCTGATTTTGGCGGACATCCTCTTGCAGCTGGTCCCCCGTAAAAGGCTGCAAAATGTTACATGTAATGTTGAAGTGTACCGGTACCTTCGCTGCTTTTTTAAATATTGCATATGCTAAATAAGCACCAGTATTGTCAACTCTGACAACCAAGTGAAAACCTCAATAGGCAGCCATTATGCATTTATTTTTAGTTTTCACCTTGCTACAAGTGATGCTAGTCATTCTGTCATCATGCCAGAAGAATATGATTATTGCATCAGTTAGAGTAATTAAGAGAAGTTATGTCCTTTCCTCTGTTTTCTCCTTAATACCACCCGTAATCTTAGGCAACATCAGCAGAGCAACAAGAACTTGGTTTGCTTTTGAATCTAAATGTGCACAAATAACACCATTTAGCCATTCTACAAGCATCTGCACTTTAGTTTGTAACTTTACTGCTCAGGCTGTATACATAAGCTACATACACATACTTGAAGGCCATTTGTCTTAGTGCCCTCTGAAAATGTATGAAATAGAAGGCCAAATGGCCCAGCCCTTCAAATTAGGAATTGTATGGCCTAACTTTATTGTTCTTTTATTATATCTGGTCTGCTACTGTTTTGGTACCGGAGCCATTTTAAAAGTATTGTTTTAACACTGGTATCAAAAAAAACCCCCAAACAATACCCAACCCTAGTTTTAGCATGTAGTTGTAGTGTGGATGAATACATGCATGTAGCTGAATAAATGCCATGTGGAATGGCTAGGTTACTGTTAGTCAAACCTTGTGTCAAGAGACGCTCGGGATATACTGCAGCTCAGAAGTCATCCACTGTTTACTGCCACTGTGGAGAGATAATTGTGTTAACACATGCAAACGTCTCCCTCGATTCTTTACCACAGCTGTCAACAGACCAGGCCTGGAGCTATGACTTTACATTCAACTGACAGATTCTCTGTTTTCCTTTCTTCTCATATTCACGTAGTTGGACTGTGGCGGAGCATAACATTCCTCAGTGCAGGCCCCCCTCCTGTCCTGTCCCACCCCATCAACCTCTGGTAAAGAATAGCAGGTAACTGAACTCCCTGGCTGACAAAGTGACAACACTGTTTCAAACTGGAGCCTCTGTTTCTAAAGGTGCTGCATAATACTTGTAGATTACTAGGGCAGATTTGACAGTGATTTCCCAATTTGATTAAATTCACAAGGTCCAGAGTGATTCATTTCTGTTGAATTATGGATGATTCAGTTACATCACCAGAATTCATCCACAGAACTTTTTTGGTACATTTTTTGTGCATTCAGTAAGTGAACAACACTTGTTTCCTTAAACATACTGTGTTTAAAGTGCCCATTATAGCCTAAATTGTAAACACATTTCCCACTTAGACTTTTTTTTGGCAAATCCAAAATGACTAAACCATTACTTTTTTGGCCTACATTTGAAAAACAGTTGAGCAAGGATAATTTAAGACCTGAGCCATTAGGGCATCACTATTATACATCTTTAAAAAATAAATCTATCTATGAATCATCAGTAACAGGGGGTCAGAGTTACATGATCAATCACAACAGATACCAGTAAAATGCTTGCAACAGAAAACAGCTGGACTGGAGTGACTCAAACAGCTGTCTGAAGACTTGACCAATAATTTAACTCCTCCCAACCAAAACCATTGCATGGCATACCTACTGTACCTGTCAGTTTACTTCCTACTTGTGTGCACCCTGTTTTTGCACTCAGTGTGCAAGCCAAGAGTCTTCCACAAGGCATTGCAGTTGCATGCAGACATGTGACTGCTCTGTTTTGATAGTTAAAGCTAGCGAGCTATGGCAGACAAGGTTCCCACAGCAGCTTTCATTGTTACAGGCCCAGCCTTCCCCTTTAAGACATATGTGTCAGGGCCGCTCGGCGGCCGCTGCCTCTCCTCAGTTCTGTCTCTTTGTTTTCTCTGTTTTATGGGCTCTGCACCTCAGCTGTGTTGCATTCCAGTAATTAGTAACTGGTTTGTCAACGCACACAGCTGAGGTGCATCCCGGTGATTACTTTCTTCCCTTATTTAAACCCCTGACCGACGCTCCGCCTTCGCCGGAACATTATCGTACATATGCCAACATTAGCCCAACATAGCGCCGCTTTATGTCAGTAACTATGGAACGCTACGCTGACAGTTACTGTTGCGTTTTGGCTTGACTCCATTTACACGACATAGGCGCTACACTACACACACCCTCAGTTTTTGATTCGTCTCTGTGGCTTGGCTTTTGGACAATACTTACCCTGTTCGTCTACCGTGAGTTTGTGTGAGCACCTGTTCGTTCTGGTCCCCTTTGTTATCACTGCCCCTCCTTTGTTATCACTGCCCTTCCTTTGTTATAAGTATTACGGACCCTGTTTTTGTTGTTACGTTTGGCTTTGTCTTGCTTTTTCCCCCATTAAACCTTTATTTTGTACTAGCACCTGGGTCAGCTATCTTGTGTCCTACCCCTAGTTCTCCCTCACCCTCCTGGTGAGGGGGGCTAACCCTAACAATATGGCCTTATAGGTAATGTTGGTGTTGTTGCTACTTGCATGCAGTGTGAGCAGTATGAGAGCAAGAAGATCGGCGCATGGAGCAGCCTCCTCTTACATGCAGCCACGGGTGGGAAAATGCCACCAGTAGTCAACTCTAAGGGTATACATAGGATTGTAATGAAGTTAACTGGGCATCAAAGGCCACATGCAGCGTTTGTGTTACTAAGATGGAATAAAGCCTATGTTTGGAGTTAGCTGGCCTCCCTCTTCACCTCTCCTCGCCACAAAAGCCTGGACTTCTAAGGCTAGGTCCCGGATACAGCCCAGGCCTAAAGCAGCTTAGCCATGAAACAGAGGTGTCCAACTATAGTTTGGGGCCACAGATCTGAGCAGGTAACATTGTATCTGAGAAAGTTACAACTAGGGCTGGGCGATATGGCAAAAAATAAAAATCTAGGTTTTTTCATAAAATGTGACCGATTCACGATTTCGATTTTTTTTTTTTTTATGTGTAACTAGCCAACTTAAACACAAGTACAACAACGTGACTGAAGTAACATTCTCTTCTTAAGTAACTTGAAAAACCAGTTTAAGAAACATTGTATTTTAGTGTGCATGCCATACATAAATTGGTCAACAAGGTGTAAATAAATGTAAAACAAATTCTCTAATGAAATGTCTTTGCAGCTGAATTAAATATGAAAGTAAATATTGAATTCTTCTTAATACAGAGTAAGAAAATAACCATTTTAAATCAATGACCAATGATTTTAACCAATTAGTCAACTCAAAAATTAAGCACATTTACACCAGAAGCATTATTAACAGTAAATGTTTGATAAGAAGCCAGCACATCTTTAAGCCCTTGACCAATTACTTCCCCAGTATGATCGTCAGGAAAATAACATGTCTGAAGACAAACACTTCGCAGTTTCCATTCTGCATCAACATAATGGGCTGTGAGGCTCATGTAAGGCTGAAGAGTACGACTACTCCACAGGTCAGTCGTCGTAGAAAAAAAAGATGCCTTATCAAGCTGTTCCGCTACTTTTTCACGTGTTTCAGTGTACATTCGAGGAATAGCTACGTCTTTGAAATATTTGCGGCTTGGCAACGTGTATCTTGGATCAACAGTGCGTAGCATTTTTAGGAACCCTGGCTTTTCGATGGTGTATATGGGAACCATGTCCTTAGCGATAT